AAAAAAAAAAAAAAAAAAAAAAAAAAAATATATATATATATATATATATATATATATATATATATATATGGAAGAGAGCAACCAAATCAGTAAACACATCTACAAATGATAATAAGCTCTAAACACTAAACTAAGATAAACATAAAACCAAAAGCAAATTAGATGCAGAAAGGGAACCCCAAGTCTACAGTTGCTCCCAAAGTCCACTGCCTCAATTTTGGGCTGATTCCTTGTGTATTCAGGTATTCCACAGATGGAGGTAAATCACGTTGATTGTGGAGATGTAATCTGCTGCTCCTGAGGCTGCTGGGAGAGATTTCCCTTCTCTTCTTTGTTCGCACAGCTCCGGAGCTCAGCTTTGGGTGTGGCCCCGCCTCTGTGTGTAGGTCGCCTGAGGGCGTCTGTTCCCGCTCAGACAGGACGGGGTTAAAGGAGCCGCTGATTCGGGGACTCTGGCTCACTGAGGCCGGGGGGAGGGAGGGACACAGATGCGGGGCGAGCCTACGGTGGTAGAGGCCGGTGGGACATTGCACCAGCCTGAGGCGTGCCGTGAGTTCTCCCGGGGAAGTTGTCCCTGGATGCCGGGACCCTGGCAGTGGCGGGCTGCACAGGCTCCCCGGAAGGGGGGTGTGGAGAGTGACCTGTGCTCGCACACAGGCTTCTTGGTGGTGGCAGCAGCCTTAGCGTCTCATGCCTGTCTCTGGGGTCCACGCTGTTAGCCGCGGCTTGTGCCCGTCTCTGGAGCTCGTTTAGGCGGTGCTCTTAATCCCCTCTCCTCATGCACCCCGAAACAATGGGTCTCTCGCCTCTTCGACAGGTCCAGACTTTTCCCTGGACTCCCTCCCGGCTAGCCGTGGTGCACTAACCCCCTGCAGGCTGTGTTCACGCCGCCAACCCCAGTCCTCTCCCTGCGCTCGGACCGAAGCCCGAGCCTCAGCTCCCAGCCCCGCCCGCCCCGGCGGGTGAGCAGACAAGCCTCTTGGGCTGGTGAGTGCCAGTCGGCACCGATCCTCTGTGCGGGAATCTCTCCGCTTTGCCCTCCACACCCCTGTGGCTGCGCTCTCCATCGCGGCTCCGAAGCTTTCCCTCTCCACCACCCGCAGTCTCCGCCCGCGAAGGGGCTCCTAGTGTGTGGGAACCTTTCCTCCTTCACAGCTCCCTCCCACTGGTGCAGGTGTCATCCCTATTCTTTTGTCTCTGTTTTTTCTTTTGCCCTACCCAGGTACATGGGGAGTTTCTTGCCTTTTGGGAGGTCTGAGGTCCTCTGCCAGGTTTCAGTAGGTGTTCTGTAGGAGTTGTTCCACGTGTAGATGTATTTCCGTTGTATTTGTGGGGAGGAAAGTGATATCCGCGCCTTACTCCTCCGCCATCTTGAAGCTATCTCTCCATGGCCTTTTAAAATCTATTGCCAGTATAGCTTCCAATCTGGCCTCATACTACCTTTCTACATGTACTACAGTGATGCTCAACCATGGATACACATTAGAAGCAAATGGGGAGCTTGGAGAAAGTACCCAAACTCTGTCTCCTACTCATATGTCTCCCACTCAGCCACCTCCTTGAGAGATTCTGATTCAACTGACCTATGGTAGAGCCAAGGTATTAGGGAATTTTAAAATTTCCCCAGGTGCTTTTTACATGTAGCCATAGTTGAGAATCAGTGATATACTCTTTGATGCAATCAAATGAGTGTACTTAGCAAAGTACTTTACCAACACCCCATACTTTTGCCTGAGCAATTCCCCTTGAAAGCAGCTCTCTTTGCTCTATTCTTCTTCCTACAGAAAATGCATGAAGACTTCTGATTTTCTTCCAACTGGAAAGAATCAATCCTTTTCCTGGAAATTGTTAGTACATTTTCATATATTACATTCATTCATGTCAGCAGGGAAGACTCTGTGTTAGATAAGGACAATGCAGAGTGTTAGAATAAGATAAGGTCCCTGTCTTCACATAGCTGCCCATCTTGCGGGATAAGAGAAACACATGAACCAACAAATAGGGCTTCCCTGGTGGCACAGTTGTTGGGAGTCCGCCTGCCGATGCAGGGGACACGGGTTCGTGCCCCGGTCCGGGAGGATCCCACATGCCACGGAACGGCTGGGCCCGTGAGCCATGGTCGCTGAGCCTGTGCGTCCGGAGCCTGTGCTCCACAACGGGAGAGGCCACAACAGTGAGAGGCTCGTATACTGGAAAAAAAAAAAAATGAACCAACAAATACCATAAGTTTTATAATAGCAATATGGAAGTGTCCATGAGATAGTGTTTAGGCATAAAAGGCTCTATTCTTCCTGGTGCAATAACAATTTATGTATATGTCATCGGTATATGTTTGAGGGCAAGTACCACGCATCATTCACCTTTATGTATTGCAAAGACCACGTTTCTCTTACAATAGTGTTAAATGTTTACTGAATCAATGAATGAGTGAGTGAGGAAATGAGTGAATGAGTAATACGTTGGTGATTAGGAGTCATTGGGAAATAGTGTCAGCTTCAAGGGAGTAGTGCCATAGTTCAGTGCCTGCCCAGGGTGGAGGGTGTCCCACTGGAGTTACATCATCATTTTCAGTCCTAAGCTATGTGTGAGTTCTACAATTTCCGTCAACCAACCATTCCACAGTTTATTTTAAATGGTAATAATAATATCTTATTAGAAACTAGGTCCAATTCTCTCATGACAAGAAGGTGGTAATGGTCTGTCCAAAATAATACTTAGCACCTTTGCTTTTAATAAGCAAATCCTGGAGATCAAATGGGATGGTTTGATGGCTGATGGGAAGAACTGGGGGTGGGGGGATTAGAAGAAACACCTGTCCACCCTACAGATCCATGAGACTTCCTCCTTCCCTGTTGAACTTGCCATGGTCTCCATGTTGTCTTTGGGCCTCTTAAAGATATTGCTGAGAAAGCTGCTAAAATGGCCACCAAATAAATGAAGATGAATAGGGCCCTGCAATAATTTCCAGGCTGATTGGGGTGGGGCTAACAAGTGAAGGACAAATGCACATGTGAAAGTAATTGTGCTTCTCCAGTGGAAACCTCTAATCCTTCAAGCAATTAATCATACCCTAAGAAGTAAACTGTTCTCGGGGAGAAAGCCATCTCTGAACATCCAAGTACTTTGAGGACACTAGTGAACCAGAGAATAAGAGTCATCAGCTGAGTGAGCTGAAAGGGTTAGCCCAGCTTCCGGGAGCGTCTGAGTCAGGAGAGATAAAAGGAAGTGTTTCCTAATCCAGAGGATTTCAACACTGTGGAAACTCATTTCCCACAGAGATACAACAATGTGCAAATATAAATCATTTCAAAAAAAGCCGTTTAGAAAACTTCACATGTCATGATAAAGGCGTTGAAACTGCTCACATGTTTTTGGCCATGTCTTTGACATTTATTCATTCTTTAATTTATGGATTGAATATTAATCCATTTATTCATTTATTCGATGACTCATTTATAGAGTCATGAATATGAGTTATTATTTTTTTGTTTGAGCATCTACTCTGTGCCAGGGGCTGTGTTACTGTGGGTACAAAGATGAACGTGGCCTAATCCCTGCCCTCAGAGAACTAGCCATCTATAAAGGGAAGAAGAAACATGAAGAGAAAATCATACTGTGGTGAGTGTATTGATATTACCGTTTATAATTGTAAAGGGAGGCAGGATCTTAAATGAAGATGCAGGGGAGGAGTGAGCCAAGGGAAGAACCATGGGGACAATTGAGGGATCTTGTTCTAGGATGTGGTTTTCAGGCAAGGGAGACATTGGGGGCAAAAGCAGGTAGAAAAGTGCGGGGCAGTGCGCCGTGTGTGGAGAAGTGGAAGCTGCTTGGCATTGTGGAAGCGTGGATGGTGGAGAGAACATCCAGAGATGTGACCAACATGGTAGCCAGAAGTCTTGGACGTTGGGTAAACAGTATATAGACTTTATCACGTGAGAACTGAAGAACGATTTGAGGGTTGGCACAGGGAACCGACACAGACAAGTTCTAATTTTTGAAAGGTTATATTTGCGGTTAGAGAGATTGGCTCTGAAAAGGGTCAGAGTGGAGAGGGGTAAGGAGGGGCCAGGGATACAGTGATCAGGGTGAAGCCATAAAAGGGCAGGGGAGCAGGAGGTGGAAACAAAAGTTATTCGGGAGATAGAACTGGATGACATGTGGCTGTGGTCATGAAGGAAGGGGGAGGGGAAGCAGGCTCCAGCATCTGGGTTGAGTGACAGTGGAGCCACTCACAGAAATAAATGATACAGGAAGAGGAGCAGTTTGGAGTGAGGGTTGTAGGCAGCGCAGCACAATGTACCTCCAGGGAACACTGACTTTGTAGGCACGATACCATCCATGTCTTCCATTGGTAAGCAGCCGCGTGTGCTACAGGAGACTGAGTCAAAGTGATTTTCCCTCAACTTAGCTCATCAATACAACCAGTATGTAGGAGATTTTCTTTGGAGACCCCAGACTGCTTTTCCAAAACTGGAAGAGTCCAAGCTCCCTTTGCTTCCATTCATGCATTCACTTATTCATACATTCACAAACATGAAGCCCCTGCTAGAACCTAGGCACCAGCATAAACCAGATAATATATGGGAGCTCACATTCCAATGAGAGGCAGTAAGGTATGATGGATAGAGAGCTGGCTTTCGAGTCAGACAGACTAGGATCTAAATGTTGTCACCACTGCTGACTAGGTGTGTGACCTTAGGCACACTCTCTAACTTATCTGAGCCTCCATTTACTTATTTTGATGGGTTTGGAGTTCAACTATATGAAATACCAACACAATGCTGATCACCTATGTTCTCCACTACTGGTAGCTGTTAGTTTGATAATTATTATTGCAATTAGATATATACAAGTAAACAATTCAACTACACTGAGATAAATATTCTGGGAGATAGAAACACAGGGAAAGCGCCTAACCCATGAGAACAAGCAGAGAAAGCACCTACCTAGAATGGGCAATGTCTCAAAAAATAGATATGAGAAAGCGGGGAAAGAAAGGAAGAGGGCTTCCAGCAGATGGCTTTGGTATATTTCAGTGCATTGAATCAATCAGTAGAGGACCAACCCATTTGGGCCACTGAAAGTCATTCATCACGGAGCAGGCTGCAGAATGGCTGGTGTCAAGGCTAAAATATAGGCGGGGCCAGTTCCTGAAGGTCTCACATACCATGTTCACAAGGTCAGGAGCTGAGGCTTTGGTTTGTAGATAATAAGGGGTCACTGGGCTGGGCAGCTGAGGAGTATTTAGGGAGATCACAGAGGCTGCACTATGGGGGATGCTTTAGAGGGAGGGCAACTTGCTGGAATCACTGAAGAAAGGATGTGCATCTAAACCAAAGAAGTAGAAGTGGGAAGGGAGAGGTGACAGCTTCAAGGGATATAGAGATAAACTAGGAGTAATTCAGTTTCTTTCAGAGCCTGAGGGTCTACAGGAGCAGGGGAGCTGACCTAGACAGTGGATAATGAAGCTAAGCTGTGGTCAATCAAATGGGACAACAGAATCATTTCTTGACTTACAGTGATGTTCTTGCAGGGGAGAGGGAGACCTGGGATGGAGATGCAAGGTCTGGGCTTCCTAAAAAATACAGGTGGCATCTCAAGCCATGGGAGTGGGTACGGGAGTGTGTTTAGTGAGAAGAAAATGATTTGGAGTATGGGGCCACGGGGAAAATATCATTTTAAGGAGCTGATGGAAGAGGAGGAGTCTAAAATAAAACTGAAAAAGGGCCAGAAAAGTAGGGAGAAGTTGGGAGAAGACTGTAGCAACAGTCTGAAATGCTACGGAAGTGTCAAGTAGGTGAGTAGAGGACTATTCCCCTGGGTTGAAGAGTCATCACACAGCCACCAAAGGCATGGAGGCAAAGCATCATTTCCTTCCTTCTTAAAGCTCTTCTCCATAGCCATCCATTCTGTTCCCCGAAGTTTGGCATTGTGATACAAGATATACACCTTGTCTCTCCCCACAACCCAAAGAGGGGTGTTTTGGCCTTTTTCATTTCATGATCTTTATCATCAATGATCAAGAGGAAACAAAGGATGGCACACAGAACAAACAAGAGGGTCGTGCCCAGGTCTTTCAACCATGGTCCCGTTCCCAATTTCACCCCCCCAAAATTGGATCTCTCACCTGAAAATAGTGCTGAAGATAGATCCAGGATAAAACATTAAGAATTGGCCAAGAAGCAGGGGCCAGCTCATCTCAAGCGGACAACTTAAAGGCCTCTTGGAATTTCCTCATCTGTCCTCTTGTCTCCATTTTCTTTGTTAATCTTGAACATGTGCCCTTAGGTGTTGAGGTGGTTAGAGGCTGAGTCCTGTTGGGCTGCCTTACGTTTGTGTGGAGAGCGGACCTAGAGTCAGAAGAAGCGTCTTTCTAATTCAGTTATACGCCACTTTTTGTTGACACCAGTTACATAGTGGAAAAGCTGTTAGATATTCAAAAACGCATTTGTAACCACTATTCCATAGTAAACCAGCTCAGAAATTAAGCTAAGGCATATGGTTCAAATTAGACCAAAGTTGTCTTTCGAAAGTTCTATGGGACACACAAACATGAATTGCTGGGTAGACTTTGCAAATTAAGAGAATCATTTTATTTGTCAAAAATGTGTGTGTATGTGTGAGTGTGTATATTCACTCACAAATATTCATTGGGGGCTATATGTATGTGTTTTTTTTCTTCTCTTCTTTTGGACAGAGAGCATTTGTAACCCACTGACTCCCAACATCAGGGTCCCATTAGGGTGAGGGTGTATGGATTTTGCCATTATTAGTCAGAAACTCTGGACTTAGCGCTCTGCCACTTAACATTAGCACCCCAGGATCTTTGACCATTAGAAGTGGTCAAGACCTTGGTTTCCAGCAATGCTTCTCATAAAGGAAGTTCTCAGATAGAAGCCAAACACTGGAAAAGAATTGCTGACTCCAGGACTGTTTTGTAAGACTGTACGGTGATTTATAAACAGTGGGGTTTTTTGGTTTGTTTGTTTGTTTTAATGAAGTTGGCTAGTGCCCTTGAACTTTCTTGCACAGGTAAAGCCGTGTGCCAGCATGCTCCTTGGAGGCCCCTTTCTCTGTGAAAGAAGTCAGGCTTCATGTCCCCACAGCTTCCTTTGCTTGGAATGAGTTACCTTCTCTCCTCTGCTCTCAAGCAGTGCTAGTTACGGCTATCTGTGGGAGTCACAAATAAACAGTTATTGGAACCACCTTCTGTGTTCCATGCTGTGTGGTTCAGATGAAGAACCAGGGCTGCAAAAGGCTGATTGCAATCCAAAGTGTAGCCACCTCCAGCCTCAGCATCACATCACCTGGGAGTTTTCTAGAAGTGCAGATTCTCAGACCTCAGTCCAGATCTTCTAAATCAGAATCTGCATTTTAACACAATCCCCAGGGAACCTGTCTGCACATTAAAGTTTAATAAACACTAGTCTAGAGCAGTGAATTAAAAAATGTACAGTCCCTCTCTGCGCGTGCACACACACACACACACGAACACTTTGGGACATACGTGCATCATATATAAATTTTTTGTCCTTTACTAATATATGAGGTACATTTTAAAATATGCACAAAATACAAACATTTAAAAGGGTGAAGCAGAAGCTACATGTGAATAGTTCTATTACTTTCTTATTGTACCCTCTTAGGTTATTGGGGTGCAATACTTTGTAGACCCCTGTTCTAAGGAAGCAAACAGAGAGCTAAAAGGAATCTTAGAACACTTTCTATATGATGGTCAGGGTTCTTAAGGCCTCAGGGAACACAAAACACACATAGAAAGTAATTTGTTGGGCTAAATTGAATATATGTATGCCACCCATAGGTAAAGCCATATCCCCAGCATATGCATTTATATTTAGTGTTTATCAATTTCATCAGGTTGAGAAATGTAAAACCCATTTTTCTCTTCAAAGTAAAATGCTGTAGGATGTTCCTTGGGCTATGAATCAAAATAGGAAGTCTAAATCTTTGTTTTTTAGTTTAGTCATTCAAGTCAGTAACGTATTTGGTATCCTCTCTGACGCACCTAGCTTTGGACTAGCTTCCCCTCTGACCTAGAACATCATCATTTAAATGGGTGACATCAGTTACTAAATCCGGATGGCTCTGTGTTCATGTGAACAGCATCTCTGACCACCCTGTTTCTTTCTTACCATGTATCAGGCCTTGTGTTGGCATTGGGGTTAAAAGACAAATTGATCACCCCACAGAGCCTGGTTTAAGGAGAAAAAGAAGCTTCACAACAAATCATTACAGCAATACATAAGTCTTATCATGCAGTGTGGACAACTTGCAAAAGGCAGAAGACAGGAGTAAGAAGAGCTTCCTCTGGAAGCTGAAGGAGGTGACATTTGAGTTGGGCCTGAAGGGATGAATAGGAGTTTGCCAGGCACAGGGCACAGAGAAGGAACTTGGGGGTAAAGGGACCTCCCTGAGCAAAGGCATTGGGCAGGAAACCTGCTTTATCAGCGTTCCTCTTGGGTGAAGTGCAAACTCTTCTCACTCAGTCAGTTAAATGAAATAATTTAAATTGACATGAAATAATAACCCTGAACGCTTACTGAACAGTAGGCTCTTGGGTTTGTAAAATCGAACGACTCTGAGAGTAAGTTATTTCATACGGTTTGGCCACGACAGTGTGTGGAAAGTTTCTCAGCAGAGCACAGTAAGTACTTCTCATTTACAGTAAAATCTGGAATGTTTGGGAAAGGTTTGTGCTAGGGAAATTGAATTTTCAGATTAACTGCATAAAAATGGAAAGTCTGGTTTAAAAAAACCTTACTAATTTTGTTTTCCTTTGAAGAGATAACTGCTGTTAACATTTTAGAGACATTTCATTTTAATCTTATCTAGTAAGAGAAAAGCCGAGCACTTATCCTGTCTTTTCAGCTTTACATAATGCCGTTCCAAATTTCACCCCCCAGAATTGGATCTCTCACCTGAAAATAGCGCTGAAGCTGGTGGGGTGGCCATGCCACGCAGCAGGTGGGATCTTATTTCCCTGACCAGGGATCGAACCCGCGCCCCCTGCAGTGGAAGCGCCAAGTCTTAAACACTGGACCGCCAGGGAAGCCCCCCTTAATGCCTTTTTAAAATTTAACATTTTAGCACGTTGCCGTGACTTAAAGACCACATAATATTTCAGCTTATAAATATTTTGTACATTTAAAATCCTTTCTATATTATTGATGATCCAGGTTGGTTTGGAGGTTTTAGCATTATAACTAATGCAGAGAACGCTCTTACACATAATCCTGATGCATATTTCTTATTAGTTCTTAGAAGTACATTTACTGGGTCAAAGATTATGAATAATAAACAGTTTTAAACTTTAGTTATGCATTGTCAAATTGCCTCCAAAACAGCTTGGCCAAATTACTCTATCGGAGGCCATGTATGAAGCCCTTCGCCTCTGCATGCTTGTGGATACAGAATGTTGACGTGTCTTTTAAAACCTCTGATTATCTGATCAGTGAAAAGCTGTGTTTCTTGGACCCCTGGCTCCTTCTTATTCTCATTTGCCAACGTCTCCTGCTCTGCCTGGCCCTGGGGCTGCCCACGACTCAGTCTGGGGCTGCTTCTCCCACACCCTACGTCTAGGAGAATCTCATTCACTTACATATTTCACTCTCTATTTGTAGACTTAAACAGTAAAGGCATCCCTCCTGCCCAGCCCTCTCTTTTGAACATCAGACCCAAGAGCACAGACCCCAGATCACATCTGAGGCAGCCCTAGTGCATTCCCTCGAACCTCACCCCCAAACCTGGATCCTGTTTCAGTATTGGGATTACGTACCAGAGTGAGTTCCACACTGGTATAACATTAAGACATTCTAACAGCGTGGGTGTCTGATAACGGATGAGTGGGTGTTAGCTACAGAGGAAGTTCCAGTGTCCTTGGAATCAGTAACATACCCACATCCAATCCACCTCTTTTTCATGCCAGAAAGTCAGGAGTTATCTTTGAGACCCCGTCTGCCTCTCCACCCACGCCCCACCCACCTGTCAGAGCCTCCTACTGACTCTGTCTGGAACGTGAAACTCAGAGCCCCTGGCCCCTCTCAGCCCTTGTCCGCGCATCCCTAATTTTAGCTTGGATTACTGAAAGCACCTGATAGCCCGACTTCCAGCATCTACGTTTGCCTCTTTCCAATCCATTCCCCGTGTCATGTCACAGAAGATGACTTGAAAAGGCAAGTCTGATCCTACCTCTTCCTTGACTGAAACCCCAAGATGCTGCTCGTTCAGCTAAGATGGTGCTGATGGTGTTCAAGGGCCCCACAGAGCCCTACATGGTGTGGCTCAGCCCTAAGCTCCTGTTCCACCCCCTCTACGCTCCCCAACTCAATACCCTTCCTCACGTCCCAGAAGGCAAGCTCCAGGCCTTTGCAAATGCCATGTGTAGCCCTGTGCCCAGAACACTCATCTCTCTCCCAGGCTGCCTCCTTACCTGCCAAGTGCTCGTCCTTCTTTATGTCTCCACCTTAATGCCACCTCCCCAAGGGAGTCTTCCTGGAACCCCAGGCTAGGACATGTTGTACACCCCATGTTCTATTCTAATGATTTATTAAATACCTCTCTTCCCTGATCTATTGTAAACTACATGAAAGTGAGGACCAAGTCAGTCTTTCTCCCTGCTGGATCTGCAGGCCCCTGCACACTGCAGCTCATAGTAGGTGCTCAGTAAACTCTTGGTGTACAAATGAATGAATCATTCTTGAAATATCTTCAAGATTTTTTACCTTTTAATTTCTTTTTGAATTGTTTACTTATAAATGTTACTGTTTGGGGGGGAAACAGTAATTTATTGACTTCTAAGAACTTTCTGTCATCTGTGGTAAATTTCCTTTGGGTAAGGCATATTTTGTGTGTTTTGTTTATTGTAAACACATAACAATAACAGCTAACTCTCATATAATTATTAGTGTGAACAGGCAGAGTTTTATGGTGCTTTATATGTTTTAACCTCACACCACCTTATGAGTGGGCATGATTATTAGCACTAGTTTGCAGAGGATGAAACTGAATCTCAGAGGGGTTAAGTAAGTTGTTGAAAGTCACACAGCAATTCGTAACAGAAGCAGAACACTGTACTCTTAACCTTTACACTACGCTGCCTCTGAAGAAGTGTTTAATTTTTTTTTTTTTTAAGTTCAGAGGAGGTAATATTCAACCTGCCCTTTGAAGAACAGGTGGAATTTGACGGAGAAGGAAACAGCAGGACGAGCACCCTCAGGAAGGAGCAGCTGCTGGTCATGGAGCCATGAACACATTGAGCAGTCTGGAAAAGGTAAGTACACACCAGGCTAAATCCTGGAGGCAACAAAGATGAAGAGGGTACGAGAGCCAGGGCTTAGAAGGACCTTTTGCTTTGCAAAGGGGATGAGGATTTATCCTGTCAGCAGTAGAGGCTACTGGAGGACTTACAAAGGGAGCTGTCGTCTACATTACTCTGTAGATGAGTGTGCTTCTTCTTCCTGGTAAGAGATACGATGAAATCATGGTAATACAAAGTTGCATGCAACCGAATAGTGTCTTAACTGTAAAAATCCGGGTTCACAGTCCTGAGAAATGCAGCCCATGAGGCTGTGAAGACAGAGAATTACGTGTGTGCCTGAGCTGCTATTTCCTCCTTTGTTTCCATGTAAGAAACTGTACCATCATGTCCAGAGGAGGGCGTGTTGGACTGTCTCCCCATGGGTATCATTGCTCCAATGATGTGAACACCAAGGGAGTGGTGACTGCCAACACTAGTGCCCCCAGTGGTGTCCTAGTGGAAAGGGAGTTAATTGCAATTCTGTGAAATATCTCAACTACTCTTCCAGAAGTAACAGCATCTTTGTTATCAATGGCAAGGGAGTGTTTGTAGGGAAATCAACCAAGAAGGATTCAGTAGGTTGGCCCGATTTCTGTGACGTTATCAGAATTACTGTACGTAGAAGCCTCACTCACAGTAGGGTTTACACACAGGTGCACGGAGCCTGGAGAGATTCGGGGTAGAATCAGGAGTGTCCATGTCCTAGGATGGTGGGGAGGGGTGGGAGAAGAGGAATTGTTTATTCTCAATCACCTCTTAGGCTTTTATTGTTTACTATGAATGTGTAACACACCACCATCATTTTAGCCCCAACTGTGACTGTGTCATAGTAGAAGTCACAGTATTTCAACATGTAGTTGCTTCAGAGATTTTGAAATAACATTTCTGCTCACCACCCTTTCAAGACGCTAGCTCTTCTTAATTAATACTTGAAAACAGAGCACAATTTTGTTTTAAAAATATTTTAATGAGTGCATTTTAATATTATCGGTGTCTTTTGTAGTCATATTTATTTTATTCTTATCTATTTAAACACATTCTGAGAAAGCAATCTTAGGTCTTACCTGTCTGCCAAAAAGAGCTATAACACAAAGATGGTTAAAAATCCCTGAGCTACACAGAGAACAGACTTGTGGTTGCCAAGTGGGAAGGGGGTGGGGGAGGGATGGAGTGGGAGTTTCGGATTAGCAGATGTAAACTATTATGTGTAGAACATATAAACAGTGAGATCCTACCGTACAGCTCAGTAAACTGTATTCAGTATCCTGTGATAAACCATAATGGAAAAGAATATGAAAAATAATGTGTGTATATATATATATATATATATATATGTATACAATGTGTGTATATATATATATATGTGTGTGTGTGTGAATCACTTTGCTGTACAGCAGAAATTACCATAATATTGTAAATCAACTATACTTTAATAAAACAAATTTAAAAAAAGAATCCCTGAGCTAAAATATTAAAAATGAGACCAGCTTACTAGACTTATTAGACTTCCTGACACCCTCTGATGTACGATGCGTGAAAAAGCTTTCGTCCCATAATGGTTAGAATTGTTTCCAGGAGTCCTAGTACTGGGAAAATCTGGACTGCTGTTCTTCTAAGAAAGTTGTCTGTATATTGAACCTTGTCTTTGAGTGTTTTGACCTTCTGAGCTACTGTTGAGCATCGATCTGCTCTTCCCTAGGGATGCCAGGTTTAACAAATAAAAATATAGGACTCCTTTGTACTATATCTATGTGGTACATATATACGGATTTCAAATAAACAATGACTGATTTTGAGAATACGTATATATCAAGTATTGCATGGGACATACTTAAACTAAAGATTATTTGTTGTCCACCTGAAATTCCATTTTAATTCAACATCTTGTATTTTACCTGGAAACCCTAAAAACACCAAAATTGGGCCAGTATCCCCCAACTAATTAACTACAGATTGTTAGAAAGTGTTTTCTTACAGTGTTTACTGATGGAGATTAGTTAGCTGCCAAAGGTCTCAGACTTTGATTAAATGTGAAGGTATTTTGAAGTTGAAATTTTCTTATTATCCCCCAGTGATCACAAACACCTGTTTTCAACTTTGGGACAAGCATACAACTCACACATATTACCAGTCCTTAAAGTCCATTTACCACCATCCAAGAATTTTGGTGTTAACTGTGTCCCCCGAGATCCTGTGATAATCCAGTTTCTGTATCAAAGAAATATGGTCAAAGTTTAGACTGACAGGGAAACTGAATTTCAAAACCTTTTGACACTCATCCCGTTGTTAAGTATTTTGGTTCCAAATCAAGCAAACGTCATAATTTCCTTTGTCTGGGATGAGATTCCAATCATGAAAATAAGGAGCATAGACATCACCGAGGAGGAGAATGTCACTCTCGCATCCAGGTGCATCACACCAAAGCCCAGTAATCATCAACTGCTCGAGGCCAACAATTCCAAATTTATTTTTAACAGAAGAAAAAGTAGTCAGCATGAAGCCAGAAAACAAACCGGCCTGAAGTCGGTATGTATATTTATAATGTGATATGCTTTCTGTGTTTCTATTCCTTCACCATAGTAAAAAATATTATAAATGTGAGACGAAGAAAGATAGATGTGAGTGGTTAAAGGCGGCGGGTTCAATGTCTTAGTGAATGAGAGACTTACTTAGGGAAAAATCAATCTGAGTGTTGCAAATTATGTAATGATGCAGTGTAAAAAGGCAGTGATCTCGCCTCAAGCAACTTTTGAAGGACAGAGATGCGGGTTTGAGAACACAAACTTGCTTGCTTGCTTTCCGTTTTTTTCTTCGTCTTTTAGTGCTCTGACTATGCCCAGTTTGAAGTTTCATTAAATAGAATCTACTAAATAAAATACTTGTTTCTCTACAAGTACCATCTGCAAAAATAGATGCCTTCCGTTCTGAATTAGTTCCAGCTTCCGGGTTATCATCCGACAAACCCAGATGCTCTACATTTTCATCTCCTTATCTAAAGGGAACAATGTGGAGCTGTCTTCTCTGTGTTACATTTGAACTCATCCAGACTAGAATAGTAAGTAAGATTCCACGAGCTAGTTAAACCTCTTCCCTAAAGAGAAAATTGGGGGCAGTGCATCAGGGAGGCTATCGCAGACCAACCCGCCTTGTTTTTTTTCTCCACTCAGACATAAATTTTCCTGTTTCACCAGTCATCTTACAACAATGCATGTCCAAGCCATGCTGTGATTAGAGGGGAGTATATGCTTATTACCCAAGTTATTCACATGTTGGAGCACGGAGAGACCAAGCGTGGTAAACCAAAGGAAATTTCCATTTGCTTTTCAGCTGCTGCGCATTCTTACTCTATAGGAAAGTTAGCTGTTATTAAGTAATGATGTTCAGCTGAAGTTGGTCACTCGTAACAACAGACAGATGTAAAATGTTTTATTTGGGTTAGCCAACTCTCTCCCAAATAAAGGGCCTGAAATTGAACTGTCTTTACAAAAATATTCAGCAAATGATACCTTATTCCAGTGCTCAGATTCTTTGCCATGGAAAATGGGAAGTGAGTCTCCTAGTGAACCCACTATCTGTTTAAACTTGTCTTTGCCCAGAGAAAACTTGATGTTCTATGGAATGAAAAAAAAATTTAATGAATCTACATTGAGGAGTACAGGGTATAACTATGCAAACCAAAGGATTTTTTTACTTACTTATGGAATTTGAAACAATAATAATGAAATGGAAACATAGGAAAAAGGCTAAATATTTGACCACAGAGGCAAATTGGATCATTAGATGCTCACATGCAATGTAAAATGTGGGATTTGTCTTTAAAGCAGTACTTGTTGCTTTTCCAATGTATAATAAGGCAAAAGAAAGACTTTGTCAGTTCTCCAAGCCATCACTTACAACCTCCAGCCACATAATCCTTTAGGAAGTTGGGTGTTTTTAAGACACTGGTTCTGATTCAGTGGCTCGAGTGTGGGACCCAAGAGCTGGGATTTCTGATTAACATCAGTAAGTGATGCTGGAGCTGCAAGCCTTTTATTATATGCTGTCCTGTCTTCAGGGTCCAGGAATATGGATAGTTCATCTCAAGGTATTTCATGACCACAGAGAAAGATATCTGCCCATCAAATGAACTAAGATTCATAAAGCCTGTTTCCATCCCTACTCCTGCCACTGGCTCAGTGACCTTGAATAAATCACTCTCAACCTTTGTGATCCTATTTTTCCCCAGATATAAAGTGCAAAGTTTAAACCAGATCAGCACTCCTCAGAGTGTTCCCACATGTCAGATAAAGGCCAGAGTTACAGAGTTAAGCATGTTTGTTTGCTGTAGAACTTCTCAGACCCTGTAATACACAAATGTGCTGTGGGAGTCTCCAGTGGGTGGGGACAGTGGGGTGCTTGGAGGTTCTGTAGGCAAAGCTTCCCCAAATTACCTGACCACAGATTGCTTTATTTGTGGAATACCTATTACCACACACTTAGGGGAAGCCTGAGCAAGAGAACTGCTAAGGTTCTTCTATTAGCTTCAGCTCCCTCAGCCCTAAAATCCAGGATCTTTCCTCTGGCCTCTGATGTTCTTAGCCAGTGAACCCCGAAAGCAACTGTAGGATGATATCCATCATCCAGGGAAGAAAACTTAGAGAAATTTTAAACCAATTGCTTTCCTTTTCTCCCAAATTCTCATTTTTCCCTTCAAGACAATTCACCTGAACTTTTATTCCCTAGGACACCTTTCCTGGCAAACTGAAAACTCCACCCAACAGCTACCATATTTGTACATTCAGCCCCATTGATTTTCTCTTCCTTCTCACACCGAAGGACCCACTCCTTTGCTTGAAAGTAATGAGGCTGAACTTTTAGGCAACCCGGTTTACGTGCTTGTGAATTTCCCACAGATTCTATATAACTCTAAGTGGCGAAGAGTATAGATCATGATTTCAAGGTGTGGTCTCAAGACCAGTAGCCTCAGCATCACC